TCCTTACTCTTTCTGTTCATCGCCAACATGTCAATGTGGATTCTGTGGTATGAACTGCTTGTCGTGGAGTCTGTTACGAACCAGTTGGCGTTTGGTGTGTCCATTTGGTATATTTACCAAAAGGAAACATCATACAGGGGACTTGAAGTCACCGTCTGCAATTCAGTGGAGTATTGAGAGAGCACAGTTTCAACAAACAGCTGGCAAAACATTACCAAATCGGAAACCGTCCTCCGCACGTGGAAGCAGGCGACTAAAAATATACGAAACCCGATCATTATCGTTGCTCTCGAGCTCAAGACCATCTAACGTATTTGTTTTAGCCTGAAGCTTCTACGCAAATTTTACAGTTGCCTTACTCGCATGCAGGTTTCTGAGAGTTGTCGTTTTGGTAATGAATCATCAATCATCCAGCTTCCAGGAAGTCACTATGGCTCACAATTTCTTACGACTTTACACTGCTAGTCGAGTTGGTCGCAAAGCGCACTGAGATCCCACAGATTCTAACGACACAGGAATAGCGATCACTTTCAGAAATGAATTTCGATTATCTTCATCTGCCTTTCGTGCTGAATAAGCTTTGTGGTTCATACCATGAGCTAAGGGTCCTCATTTTGCACCAAAAACATTGGCACAGAAGGAAAACATCGTGGCGTCAACAGTCGTAAAGAGAGAAGCTTGACGTTCTGACAGGTGTTTACGCCGGCTTTCTGGAGGTGTTTTCGGTTACCCTTCCGAGACCTGGAGGAGTATCGAGTTTCCCAGAGCGCATATTTCTTGCTCATGGTCAGTCCGATTATGTTCCCAACGATTTTTTACCAACCATCAAATAATACTGTAATTTGAAACAGCTTTCAATGAGGGGAGGACTGGATGCGGGCTAGACTGTTGTATACGCGCCACGAAGTCACAGCACCTTCATGGTTATACTTTGTGGGCGGGCGTCGCTAAGTGATTCTACGGGGAAGAAAAAAGCAAAAAAAAACATGGAGGGCACCCTAAGTAAGGACTTGACAGCTTCCCTGGACGAGTTTTCCAGGCCTGCTCGTTTTATGCCAGCAAAAGCGATGTCCTGTCGGAATGGAAAACGCGGGGTAAAAAACTGAACTCGGTGCAGAAAATAGCATTTGATTTGGAGTAGGCGGGGCAGCTAGAGTGGCGTCCGAACTGCCACTTCTGAGGGCCATAGTGCCTTCGTTACTTACTGATAGGCGGCGAAAGTGGGATTATCCCAGAGAGCGGGCCGGACATTTTGTACAAGGAAGGGCGCCTACGAATTACTTGAGCGCGGGGCTGTCTTGAAGGGCGAACTGTTACTGAAAGTATACAGCTGATATTATAAATATTATCGCTATCGGTCGAAGGATGCCAAAAGGCACGGGATCAGTCCAACTGCGACTTTTTCACTACTGGTCCTTTTGTTCCTATATCGATCACTAATTAATCATAGCTGTTAGAAAAAGGTAGCCGGCGGCGGGCTCATTCCGCTCCTCCTGACAGCGCTCCGACTGATTGCGACGATATCAACTATGCCCAATGTTAAGCTTGACCTATCAAGTTATTGACGTAACTGTAATGTTCTTCTCTCGCTTCGTCTCATTTTTCATCAGTATTGCTACTGTAGCGGTGAGCAGAGTAATCTTCTCGGTATACGATTGTGGGGCTACGTTCGTTCCTATATTGTGTGGAAAACTGAAACTTTGTGGAAAATATAGGGCATGTATTACTGATGAATCCGCTGCCTTGGAAGTATTCTCTATTGTTTGTTACTCTGAGGTATAAGCCGCCGTTATGAGGTGCACGTTCTCCTTTGAAGCCGTTACTGTTCTGTGGGAAAGAAAAGGCATTTTCTTATTTTATGCTTCCGAATTGAGAGCAACTTTATAAACAGCTAGCTACATGCCCTAGAACTACTGTTAGCTACCGTTAGCTACGGTTTGGTGTGTCATTTCTTTACCACGCCTCCCTATGACGCAGCCTCCAGTAGTTATGATAGGCTTCTGCAGACTGGAGCGTTTTAGAGCTCGACTAACAGGGAAAAAGAGAACTCCAGGGGGACAGTCTCCCTCAGCCGCTGAATACCCCTTGCATACAGCCATTCAAGTCAACGGTCAGAAACAGTATTTATCCAGTAGTTTCGCGGCGGCAAATGGGACAGTAAAAAACGAGACAAATCGCGAAACATCCACAATAGGAGCACAACATTGCTCGAAAACATTTCTCTCAAAGCCAAGATTGGCCCTATCGACTAAAGGGCTTCCATCTCTAGCGACTAAGTGCAACTCCCCGATGGGATCCTCCCAATGATCTGTACCGTAATTGGACGAACATGAGTTGTGGGTGCGACATTTGAGATGGCCTTACAGCATCACGGAATTTGAAAAAATAGCTTTTCAGAGATGCGGCTGAGCTCATGCTTGCAGCGTTCTCTCTTCCCATTGGCAAGCCGTTTATCCAATCCTGTTCTTGGAAAGTCTCCAAAAACATTAACGGCTGACGAGGCTGTGTCCATGATTGATTCTGGTTAGCGCTTTTCCATTTTTTTTGTTCTTGTGTTCTTGCTGTCTCCTTTTCAAGAGTCGTTTCATCCCAGGCGACAATATATACGTTCATGGACATGCTGCCACCCCAACAGAATTGCTTTATGCATTGGGCCGTCGCATTGATTCTCATGGAATTTCAGTCAAATTGATTCACATTCTTCTATGTGGAAAGAGCCCCCTGTTCGACAAAAAATATGCTGGTGAGATATGAGTTCATCTCACCCCCAAAGACATCGAGCAACACTAGCTATTTTTAGAGAAAGCACGTTCCAACTGCTTGTTTCTCTGCAACAATACTAGGAAGCTCGTCAAGGAAGGTAGAAATCCTCTCTTCATTCATTAAGGGGCTGAGTTTCATGTTCAGTCTTGTGTTAAGCTGAGTATTAGGTTGGCGGGAAAGTTCTGTCACATTTTTCAAATTAGGCTCTCTTCTTAGGCAGCGTTCAGACTTCGCGAAGGCAGCACTTCGGTCGCGCGTTCGGCGCGATCGATGCTCCATGCTTTCTACAGTATCCGTCCAAAGGTTTGAGCCGTACCTCATGCAATAGAGCTGGATGGCTCTCCCCTTGCACTGGTGTAGCACAGACATTGCTCCTTCTAACTGCAAGTTGCCTCCCGTACTCAATCGTTATATGGACGAGAAAACCTCCATAACCCGAGTTCATGTCAAGATTGAGATGATGTCCAACTTTGCGTCGCGCCTCCCTGCATTGTGAAGCGATGGCATCCATGAGGTGCTCAAAAACTGGCAAGAACCCCGCAGTAACATTGCTGTACAATTTTGATCTTACACCATCTCTATAAGGCAGAGTTCAGACTTCGCGACGGCAGCGC